CCCCAAACAGCACAGCACAGTCTCCTACCCGTCTTGATGACGTTGTGCCTCAGACGAATGATCAGGGTGTAGGTGCCGTCGGCCTGGAACTTGTCCCCAAACTGATCGAGGACTTGGTTGAACTTGGCCAGGTTCCCGGTCCTGACGGCTGGAGAAGAGAATGTGTTAACTGGGAAAGGAGCGAGGGCCGGGGTGCGGTGGGGAAAGCGGGGCAGGGTTGACTCCCAGGCCTGCAACCCTCTTAGGAGCTGCCTCCTCCTCCTGCCCAAGTGGAGTCTACAGCTGAGTCCCATCGAGGGGAGAGGACAGAAACCCCCACTGCTCCCCCCAGGGCTTCCTGCTGCCTCAAAGCACGGGACATCATTGTGAGGGCCCGCGGGCGGAGTGGGCTGTCGTACCCTGGGTCAGGAGGAAGTAGGGCATGAGCGACCGCTTGAGGGAAGGCTGTCTGAACTGGAGCCTGTCTGGGATCTCCCCGAGCAGCAGTTCCACCACGATGAGCAACTTGTGCACCTTGAGCAGAAAGAGATCGTTGAGTCCTCGCAGGGCCCAGCCCCGAGGCAGCTTCCCTGGGCACCCAGGAGGTGCCGAACGCCACCAGCTTTCCGTCCCTGCTCACCGTCTGCTTGAAGCCGACGGCCGTGTGCTGCGGGGCCTTCCGCAGGGCATTTGTCATGGTCCTCCGTGCCTCCGAGTACTCCAGCTGGATGGCCTTGATGCGCCCTGTGTTCACACAGGACAGAAGGCGTTTGAAAAAGCCACCAAGTGGATCCAACTGGACCCAGCCCAATGGGGCTTCAAATCCTGCCTGGAAGCCCCATCTCCAGCTGCTCAAATGGGTTCTCCGGGGAATCAGAGACCCCAGTCTCGGGCACAGCCCAAGTTGCCAGTGCTGGGCGGGACCCTCTGCATCTCACCTGTGTAATACAGGTACCGAGCCCACTCATTGTTGTTGGCCTGCTCGGGAAACACAGACTTGGAGACGAGCTTTTCTGCTTGGTCATAGAGGTTGTAGTGGAGATAGTTCCTCAGCAGCAGGTTCAGGAGGGTGGCCTGCCCATCTGCATCATGGCGCAGCGTGGCCGTCCGTAGCCGGGCGTGCAGGAAGCTGCAGGAAAGGCAGACAGCGTGGCAGGGAGGAGGAAAGAAACAGCCCTGCTCACCAGGGCATGCAGGACCAAGCTCAGGGAGAGCCTGTGCGCAGGCCCCACTCTACCTCCTGACCACGTCGAGTTTGTTCAGGAATTCGTAGATGCGGGAGTGGTAGTAGTAACACTTTGCCACCACCAGATCAAGGGCCCGGCGGTTTTGGGAACTGATCTTCTGCATCAGGTCGTCAGACACTTTCTGAGCCTGTAGGAAGGGAACAGACGTCAGAGCAGAGGAACCGCTGCCTAGAAAGAGCAGAAAGACTGCCAGGGCGGCGGGACTGAGCCTGGGGCTGCCTCCAAACACAGCTGAAACAAAAGGGAAAGTGTGGGCCCACAGACAGACATGTCCCTGAGGCTCTCCAGATCCTGCCTGGTGCAGGAGCACCACACAAAGAGCTCAACTTCAGAGCTGGCAGCTCAGGGAATCTCACCTCTGGGTATCGCTTGCTGTTCATCAGGTATATGACGAGAAGCAGTTGGAGGTAGGTCTCCACTTCTGGCAAGAGAGGGGCTGAGGCCGCCTTCCCTGTCCGCGGGCGAAACTGCAGCTCAGCTTCTGTGTCCATGGACTGAGGAGAGAGACGTGCTGGACCCCTGGCCCTCCCAGCCCGCCAGCCTCGCTACCCCGCCCCGCCAGCTTCGCTACCGCCCACCCAGCGCTCCGCACGCCTCTGCTTGCAGCGAGGTCTGTCCCCAGCCTTGTGACAGCTCTGCTTGAGGTGTGACAAGAGAGCCAGCCCCAGCTGCTGGCACTACAGTCCCCTCCCTGTCAAGAGCTGCAGCGACCCATCTCATCTCGCACACGCTTCTGAGCAGCCGGGCTGCGTGTCCCAAGGGTCCTCAAGCCCTTGCTGTTCCTGGTGCCCTCCCGCCCTGCCCAGTGGCACTCCAGAGACTCCTCGGTGTGGGAAACGCGTCCCCTCGGCAGCTGGTCGCCTCTCCCGTCCCCTGCTGCCATACCTCCTCCAGAAAGCCGAGGAGGAAGTCCCGCATGGTGCTGTTGGAGGTGAAGAAGCCATTGATGGCTTTATGAAGCACGTTGGAGTTGAGTCGACGGGAGGTGGAGGGCAGAGCCCGCAAGGCACGCAGGACGTAGCGCGGCTCCTTCCCTGACACGGCCTTCTCCAGCTGCTTCACGTGCTCTTTGATATCTGCGGGAGCACAAGGGACATGCTGTCAGCACAGGTCTCCCACAGGCTTCTCCTGAAGGACACACCAGAGTAAAGTCGGTGCCGGGATCGCTCCTGTCCTGCTGCTGTTGGGTTCCTCTGCTCGTGGCACCGGGGCTGCGTGGCCTCAGCGTCCCCAGTGACCGGACCCGACCCCATGGCTGTCCCTGCTCGGACCATGGGGCTGGGGATGAGCCCTCCAGATGTTCCTTCCCCTCATTCCCCCTATGGGCTCCAGCCTCCCTCTGCAGCCCCGCGGGGTCCCAGCACGGCATTTCTGCAGCTCCCCCTGCCCTCACAGCCCATCCTCACAGGGACTCTCCCAGAGATTCCCCCCAAAACACACCTCCCACCTCCCTTTCCCTCACAGGGC